GACAGGAATGTCCCTCTGCCAAAGCCGCCAACACTGAAGCTTTTTTTGCGAGAGACACATGGCTCAGCAGTGAAACGCCACTGGGGATGCCGTTGGTGGAGGCTCGCAAGTTCAACCAGTATTCGAAGCAGATCCTGAACGTTAACGTGTGGCCGTCGTCCATTGTGCGCGCTCAGGCTGGAGGGATCAGCCTGCCGGTTTGTCTATCTTTCGGCGAATTAGAACACTTTATGCGAGAAGCGCTTTACCTGCAACTGTCACATGCGGCGCTACATTTACGTGAACCGGAGGGGATCTATCCACTGCAACCGTCAGACCATCTCAAGTCCCATCACACGGAGTTGGAGTGCTTCGTCAGAATGCCGCCCGTCTGTCTGACTACTCCCTTCACTCCATCTTCATAATTGGCATAGGGTCAGGCGAAGTAAGAGTCACTCCTGCAACGACAGTCTGCGTTCGAGAGATATAGCTCAAGATTGAGTACTAAGTATCTGCTTTCTCCGCATTGTATTTTATTTTTGTCCACGGGAAGTAGGGTCTTGCGGGTTGCGTCTTATATTTTTTGTTCGCCCGGTTGCGAAGAAATTTCATTCTAAAGATGGCCAGGACATCAAATCTGGAGGTGACGCGAAACAGTCTCTTTGTCCCTGAGAAGTAGGGACTTGCGTGCTGCGTTTTTGGTTGTCCCTGAGAAGTAGTATATAGGGACTTGCTACGTTGCTTTTATTTACCACATAAATACAGTTATATTAAAATCGAGTCTTTTTATGCGCGCAAAATGACTGTGATTACGCGCATGCGCACTGAACTGAAGCTCAAACCCCCCCGTTTTGATTTGTGTCTACGCCCCTTCTTCGACCTGCATAAACTAAGATGGCAAATGGCCCGTGAAAGATAGTGCAAGTTGTTCATCGCATTTGTATACCGGAAACAATTTGTGTCTGGGCTTTTCTTCGAACCACTCTTTGGCAATGTCATGCCAGTGGAACTTTCCTTATACTGAACTTAAATCAAGTGTTAATCAACAGTCACGTACACTTTAATGGCGTGCACGTATTCATTGCACAGCTCCACGCGCCACTTAAGTTACGCGAATGCATTAATGCGATACAGCGGGCTTCCCTCGTAAATAGTCTTTCTCAAATGTTAAACGCACAAACGAATTAGTGCGCTACATTCAAGGGTTGGCCGTGACCCTTGAAGATTACATTCACCTTAACGACACGTACGTATTCATGGTGAAAAAGTGGAATATGTTTTTCGTAGGTTTTCTATGTGGTGAAGGACACCAAAATGAGATCGCTAGCCTCCGATATGCTGACTCAGCAAATAACAACATCTTGCAAGACACTTGCATTGACCAAGTGTCATATTTTTGGAGTTGGTTCTGCAGTTCTCTTGTTCGCACCCAGGACACCCCCTGCCCTCTTCCCAGCGCTCGACATGGTGGGCGAAGTAGGGACTTGCGCATTGCACTTTTTTGTCCCTGAGAAGTAGGGACTTGCGCATTGCGTTTTTTTGTTCCTGAGAAGTAGGGACTTGCTACATTATTATTTTTTTTATTTACCACATAAATACATTTGCTATTTAATTTTGTGCGCACACAACGAATGACTGTGACATTCTGCCACTGGTCCCGTAGCTTTCCCCACTTCAACTGCGCAAATCAGGCTGGTGGCACCCTGGACTTCCGAGTAACCCAGCTCTTTGATGATGGCAAATTTACGCACCCAAACGATGACTGTAATAGTCTCGCAAGCCAGCCATATTCTTCCCGTGCGCGGAATAAAACACATGCGGGAGATAACGGAGCCCAGGTTATAATTATGTCATGCAAAAAGTGAAGTTTACGCTGCATACGCTGCAGGATACATTGCAAAGTTGTCTGAGTTCATTGTGAGTGCACTACTGACGTGCACTTGAGTGCCAGTACACTGCTGACATACTCTTGAGTGCATAACGAACGAGCGTGGTAATAGGACAACCCGGGAAGTTGCATAATTGTAATGAGATATCGTTAAACTAATGGAGCTAACATCTTTGATGTGGCCCTGCTGGTGTCTACTCCCCTCTCTGCTCCTCACCAACCTCGACTACAAATTACTATTTTTACGTATATGTGTGCGTAACGCACGACAGCATGCTCCACACATAATTGCCGACGTATTTTATTTTTGCAGCACTTTTTCGCTCATTTCTCGTATCCGTATTTTTCCATGGCGCGCAGTGTTAAACTCAGATACAACTTGTCTTCAGTTGTATATACATAAATGTGCGACAAACAACACTGTTTCACAGAGCCCAGTCCCAGAAAATGAGGCAACTCGAAAAATAGTTTGAAGACCACCCTCCAGTCATCGTTGTCTTGCTCAGCACAGGCCACAACGTGCGTTACCTGGATTGTGAAATACAACATAACAGCGCAATGGTACACCCACGATGGTCAGAATAGCGACCGCGCAATGATGCACCCACGAAGGTGTGAATAGCGCTCTAAAGTGTAAATGCTTTAACATATCAAGGTTTGAGTAAAGAAGCGTCAACGAGTTTTTTTTTAGGTTCCAGGTCCCTGGAAGCTTCGCAATTGCAGATTTCTACTAATATTGGTGCTTGAGTTTTTCGTAACATTGCTGCATCACTGCATGTTTGTCGACCAGTTTGATCTTAACCATGACTATTATCAGATCTCCCAAGTTTCATCGCATCAGAGAACCAAAACCTCAATCAATGGAACTTGCTAATCGTCAGTAACACAGGATTATGTGATTCTTGGCGAATTTTGTAATTCCTCTAACCTCCGTTGGAAGAAGGTGTGGGTGAAGTGCAGAACTGCAGAACAAAAAAGACGTAATAACAATGTCAGTTCTGGCGGAGTTGAGAGATTATAGAAGTGATCTACAATGACAGACGGGGAAGAAGGGTGCAGGTGAAGTGCAAAACAAAAAAGACGGAATAACAACTATTGAAAAGATAATTGAGTGAAACTGACACGATCATATAGAAATAGAAAAGGTCACCTGTTTCTTAAGCTGGTCTTAACTTTGTCCTGTGTGTTCTTCGGAGTCTGAGGCATAAGGTACTTTTCCAGAAAGCAACGACACTCCCTAATGGTCGGGGTGCACCTGCAGTCGATATGCGTTGCAAAGTACGTTTCAACGAAAGATGTTTCTTCAACGGACAATAGACGCCTTCGTGGGGTACTACAGGCATCCGATGGACACGTGGAGCTCGAATGAAACAGTGGAATAAGAAGTGGTGCATTTGGCTCATTCACAAGGTAAAGCTGCATAGTTGACATGTGAGTTGTAGAACACTCTTCCTAGGCTGTAGAGCGTGCTGGGTTTGAGTAAAGGTGTTGTCCTGGGTGTTGTTGATTTATACCTGTATATGTGAGCAAGTGGATACGGAATGGTGGAGGGGTGTGCAATCCTTTTTCAGCAACCAATTCGTAGGAGACTCGTGCCTTCCTGCCCTTAGAGAGGGCATTGAACTGAAGGCATCAGCTGCGTGTTGTCACTGACAATGGCCTGATAATAGGCCACACTGGTGCCGACAGAGTGTGACATTTGGCGTGTCATCAGACGAGCATCTCTCTCGTCCAGGTTGAGCACAACACATGTGGCGCCGTTCTTCCTGACACAGCTAGCATTGAGAAGATTCAGGCCGTGACGACGCCAAACGGTCTTGAGCCTGCTCGACAGCTTGTTGGTTTACCGCCCACCACTTAGCAAGAACAGATACTGACTCTGGGACACATCCCACAGCTTTCTCACTGTATCAACGTACAAAGAGATCGGGGCATGATCGCTTTTCTCCATGAACACTTCTCTCTGCTGCCGTTTTATGGTTGACGACTCTCCTGACTTGTCAGTTTTCAAGATTGACTACTAAGGATCTGCTTTACTGTCTTTCTCCGTGTTGCGCTTAATTTTTTGTTCCTGAGAAGTAGGGACTTGCGTGTTGCGTTTTATTTTTTTGTTCCTGAGAAGTAGGGACTTGCGCTTTGTGTTTTATTTTTGTTCCTGAGAAGTACTGACTTGCGCGTTGCGTTTTATTTTTTGTTCCTGGGAGGTAGGGACTTGCGCTTTGCGTTTGGTTTTTTGTTCCTGAGAAGTAGGGACTTGCGCTTTGCGTTTATTTTTTTGTTCCTGAGAAGTAGGGACTTGCGCTTTGCGTTTATTTTTTTGTTCCTGAGAAGTACGGACTAGTGCTTTGCGTTTTATTTTTGTTCCTGAGAAGTAGGGACTTGCGCTTTGCGTTTATTTTTTTGTTCCTGAGAAGTACGGACTAGTGCTTTGCGTTTTATTTTTGTTCCTGAGAAGTAGGGACTTGCGCTTTGCGTTTTATTTTTTGTTCCCGAGAAGTAGGGACTTGCGCGTTGTTGTACCTGATAAGTACGGACTTGCGCTTTGTGTTTTATTCCTGAGAAGTAGGGACTTGCGCTTTGCGTTTTACTTTTGTTCCTGAAAAGTAGGGACTTGCTACATTGACATAGTGGTTCATATGGACACCTTCTCGGTGAGGTCTGCCTGCTACGCGGCATACCTAACCCAGCGGGGGAATCCTGGTTGGCATGGTGGAGAACGACCTTCTGTTGGACTTTGCCGCCATTCAACCCACCCTGGTGTTTTTTTTTGGAGACATCCTCTGTTGTGTACCACACCTAGGCTCTCTCCCCTCTTGCACGGCGAGTTTCATAACTGCCGATGCTCTTTGCCGCTACGCAGGGCAAAGTATATACAGGCCACAGTTACTAGTAGATGATTGTGTCGTAATGCGGCGTAACCCTGCCCGTCAATCAGCGGCGTGCACATGTGTATGGGTGTTGAAATGGATATCATACACACGCATTTGCACGGAGGGTTTGCACTTTATTGCTTCGACTGTGTGTGTATATAATATTATATATGTATATATAAATACATACATATCATGTATGTCTGTATTTTCTTCAGTGCTTTTCATTTGAACTGTATATACTGTATTTATTTCCCCTCAGAACTCCGCTGGAAGTGAGACAAGTTATTGTTCCCGAGAGTTCACGAGCTGGTCTGGAAACAGGGTCTGATATTGTTATTCCTGTTTCCTGTCAAGATACAGGAGGTGTCCAGCTGCTTGGGGAACAACAATCATTGGTCTCAGGTGGAGTGGGGACTGTCCCTCTGTCCACCAAGTCACGTGACCAGGCCCCTGCGATCTCATTGGTCGAATGAGAGGGTGGCGACGTTCCTGATGATGTCATAGACAGTATGGTTGCCGCGGTAGCCAGCAGTGGAGACTAAGAGGAGGGGGAATAGGGAGAGGTCGCTGAGGAAGAAAAAAGTATGATGTCATATTGATGTCACCATTATTAGTATCTTAAGAGGGTGGTGTCCTCATTTCTAGTGTTTCCTTAGAGGAGGTTCCACTGAGCCACAACAGTACTAATAGATGGGGTTGTCTCTGAAATATTCATTAGTTCTCGAGTCTGACAATATTATTTTGTTATTAGCTATTCAAGTATGGCATAAGGAGCAGCAAAAAACTTGGTCTCAAATGAAGAACCAACTGTCTTTTTTCTCCCCCTTCCTCTCCTCAGGAGGAGAAGAGATGGAGCTAGCTGGTGATGATGATGAAGACAACACGCAATCGTCCGTCCCTCAGATATCATCGTCGTCCTCGTCCCAAACTTACCTCTTCTTCCACTAAACCAACCAGTGAAGGTACATATTTACAGTACATTGTGGTACAAAAATATGGTATGCCCTGTTCGTCTGTCTCTGTTTCAGCTGTCGACCAATCAAGTTGCAGAAAGAGACAGCCAATTGTTTGGGATGAGCCGTCTTGTAAGTGACATATTCTCTCTCTTCTCCTTGGCCCCCTCTACTGCTCCCTTGCATGCTAAAACATGGACCCACCATAATATCCTTACGTTGGCCTTCCTTACCTGGCTTTCCCTTTATCTCTCTTCTTTCCCCTCTTCATTCAGCCTCAGCTCCATCATCAAGTGGCCGTCCCTGAACTCAGTCAAAGAGACACATCGTCTCAAGATTCAAGGTGGTCTGTTGGGTGGGAAGCGAGCCTACCTTGTTATCTGAAATGCAAGCACTTCTGTAGTATATATCCAATCTTGTTATTAACCCTCGGCGCGCATGCGCAGCGAGGTTACGGTAGTTGGTTTGTCTGTGTGTGTGTGTGTGTGTGTCGACGCTTATTCTGGCACTACAGGCTACGAGGCGGGCATTAGTGATACCAGCGGCTTCGGAACTACGCGAGCCAGAAAACTAAAAAGGCGATTTTCTTGAAACGACTGCATTCAAGAGCGACAAACTGGCACGGTCGCGGACCGCGTTGCGTGGCCCAACCATCAATAAGCGGTGCGCATGCGTATATTAGACGCGATCAACGCAGTATGTTCGACCTGATCCGCTTGCTCTGTGTACCTTGGAGGCACAAGAAGCCACAGCGAAGGGTGTGTATCGACAACCGTGGGTAGCCCGTGTCAGACTCTCCGCGAGCTACTAGCAGGAGACTGCGGGTGTATGAACGCCAATAGCCCAGCCCACCATAGCGTTACTGCGCATGCGTAGTTCGCCGAGGGTTTGCACTTTAGTGCTTTCATCTGAAATGCAAGCACTTCTTATTGTAGTATCCAATCTTGTTATCATATGTCAAATGAAATGCACCCACTTAATGTGTATGATTGTTTAGTATTAATCCAATGTTGCTATAATATACCCTTACCGTATTGTCTTAGCTACATGATCCATAGACTTGTGCACTGTCATGCAACCACCCTTGTAGCATGTGTAATGCACAAGTGCAGCGAGAATGAAAAGCACTGAAGTGCAAACCCTCGGCGAACTGCGCATGCGCGGTATATTATTAGTATGCATGGTCTCCCGCTAGTATAATAGCTCGCAGAGAGTCTGACACGGGCTAGCTACAGTAGTAGATTAGCATGCGAGAGTCGATACACGCCCTTCGTTGTGACTTCTTGTGCCTTCAAAATACACAGAGCAAGTAGACCCGGTCCTGTGCTAAATATAAGCGCATGCGCATTTTCCGCAGCGATAAAAATGGCCGACTACGCATTAGCCGTACAATGGTCGAAGCGCTCTAGCTTTGCAACGGAGCGTTTTCAGTGAAAACCGTTCGAAATTTCTGACCTTCATTGCCCGTTCAGTAGGTGGTATCCTTTGTGAGACTGAAAGAACACTCGAGAAGTGAGATGAAGAGTAACAGACACACAGACAGACAAACCCAACTACTGTAACCCTCGCTGCGCATGCGCGCTGAGGGTTAATGATGGTTTTTATAGCTGACTTACAGTCAAACGAGAACCTTACCACATTTTGTACATCACACAGCCTCATTATGTGTTTCTCTTTCCTTCCCTCCCATACATACACACCTACAAAGACACTGGTGCAGGTAGAAGAAGTCTGAGGTTCAAGAAAGGACGGAAAAGGCAGCCGTTCCGAAAGTGAAATCCTGTGAACTCATCGTCTACTTACTAATGCACACTTTACTTAGTATTGATTTTCGTTCACTGGAATGTAAAATGATCTTATTGTGGATTTTACATGGTGATGTTACCTGCGTTTTCCGCATTGTGCATTTGTCGAGGCACTTGAACTTCATGTTATCAAGACACAACCAATATCTAGCTCTGCTAGGATTCAAACTCTACCGTGCAGTGTAGCTGTTGGTGCTTCGCATGCGCATGCGTATGCGTACACCGCAAAACAGTCGAATCTACTTAACCCTCGACGCGCATGCGCAGAGAGGGTTACGGTGCATTGTACTTGTGTGTCCGTCTGTCCTGTGTCTGTTGCTACACGTACGACTATATACGCGCAACGAGACAACAAACCAGCGATACCAACGGGTTCATCGCTGCACTGGCTTCGTTTTAAAAGGCGATTTTCGTATAACTACGTACTCCGTTCCATCAATTAGTGGTACCGCGCGTTCGCAGTTCGCGGAGGGTTTGCATTCATGTGAGCCATCACGAAAATATTATTTCTATAGAGTGCGTTCTTTCCCCAGTTCCTTTCCCCCCTGGACTCCCTTCACTCATTGGACTCCTTGGAATCCCTAGACTCCCTTGACCCCCTTGACTCTTGAGTCAAGGGGGTCAAGGGAATCTGTGGAGTCAAATGAGTCAAGGGAGTTGCAAGGAGTCAAAGGGGAGTCCAGGGAACTGGAAAAAGTATGAATAGGAAAAGAAAGATTATGGTGTAAGTAGGAAAAGTTTCGTCATGGCTTATATGAGTGATATATATTATAGCAAACAATCTCTGTTTGGAATGATAATTATTGTTTTGAAGATAATTATTATGGACAATAAGATAATGATAATATTATATCTTATTTAATCCCCTGCTTCAGAACATCAATTAGCTACATTACACATTTAATTATTAATGTGTAACGTAAATGCTGTCCTGAATCAGGGGATTTTAGGTCAGCACATGCTCTTTAGTGATCTCAAGTAGGATCAATATATCCAGCCTGAACACCGAAAGATAAGGAAAGAACAGAGTTTAGAGTTCATTTGAAAGTGGCAGAGTTTAGAGTTCATTTGAGCCGAGGGTTTGGTAAGTGAGTGACTTTTATCTAGAGTTAATAAAATTAAAAAAAGCATTAAAAGAGACATAGCTAACACACATAACTTAATAATTCTCCTCAAACAATCTCATACTGTGCCTCCTCCTCCTGCCCCTTCTCATCCAGGGAGGGTGATAGGTCTGGAGCTGTGTAAATTGCATCCATTTCCATCCCATCACCAGAATTCGCTAGTCTCCTCAGGGCCATGCCTGTTTCTGCCTTTATTACCCCATAGGCTTCATTACTAGAAGTCTCAATTCCGATACCATTCACTTCGTTGGTTGAGATTACTATAGTATCCTTCTGTCTTTCTCTGGTGCCATTTCTGTGGAAAGGTAAAATGCACAGTGAAGAGAGTTAGTGAGTGAGTTAGCCTACTTTTTCTGGTGAGTCTTCAGTAGTACAACAATTGCAACTGCAACAACAATTAAAACTATGACCAGCCCTGCAACAGCTCCACCAGCAATAGCAGCAGAATTGCCTGACTCAGCAGAAGAATTGCCTGACTCAGAAGCAGATTCTGTGAAAAGTGTAATATACTATGGTGAATTGTGTATCACTATGCTATGAGGTATACCTGTAACAGTAATGTGCTGCTGTTGACTTTGTTCTGAGCCACTGGTAGTGATGTAGGGAGAGGAGGAGGCAGCATACACCTCACAGTAGTACAGTCCAGAGTCAGAGAGTAGCAGGGGACTGAGAGTCAATGTTGAAATGAATGGAGACCTATCACTAGTGGGAGGAGACAGAGTGACTCGCTCATTGCTGATATCTGCTGTCCAGTTGATAGTGACGTTGACATCAGTGTCCACCCAGGGTGGTAGTGTGGCAGTGCAGGTCAAGGTGAGGGAGGTCCCCTCATTCAGTGCACCACTGGAAACACTCACAGTCACAGTCGGAGCTGGCACTGCATTGTAATGTATTAGGCGATAAACCACTCGGAGTGACCTATTTCTTCTTAGTAGGAATTAAAAAATCAGTCACGGCTATAACACGGCTATAACACTTTAACTATAACAATTTTTTTAAGGTAGTGAATAGTTTTAAAGCCGATGGAATAGCTCTCTTATAAGTTTAATACCCTCTAGTATTATATAAACTCTACAGAGTCTTCATTGGATGTTCTTCACACATTGCTCTCAGTATTATGTTAAGCATTAGGAGTAACCTACGTCTGACCACCACGTCCACAGGTGAAGAGGCAGCAATGACCTCTGCTGTTACTAGTAGAACCCTCCCCCGACACGTGTACTCTCCACCATGAGATGTTCGAAGTGTTGAGAAGGAAAGAAAAGAGATTGAGGTTGTAGCATTCTTAACAGTCTCAGCGAGGTTACTATCCTCCCCTGGGAACACTGGAGTTGAGCCACTCCACCACTCAGCCGAAGGGAACCTAGCAGTCCCTGAGGTGCCACCTCTGACTATGCAGGTCAGAGAGAGCCCATAGACCCAGCCTCTGTCACTCCAGCATCTGACACTCTTGTTTCCACCAGCAAGATATCTGGTATAATACAATAAGAGGTTAGTAGCTATATGTGGATTTGTAATGGGGTTAGCAGAAAACATTGCTGTATCAGACAGTGCTTTACATTAGAGTACCATTGTCACGGGTTGTCACAATTTGTCCTGAGGCTGGGTTTAAACTGATCCTACTGTCGAGAGATGGTATTCGCTCCAAGTTGAATATTAGGCGTTTGTCTTCTTTCATTGGTATCAATGTTGACATAAACACAGCTTCTTGTCTCACAGATGTCAAATGATAACATGACCTGGGCTGCAAAGGGACAAAATTAGAGTAGCTAGCAAGTACATTGGTGTAGCTATTACCATTTGCAGCACTGAGTCCGAGAGTGAATGGAAACTCAATCGGACATGATATGAGTGGACTATACACCAGAGCACAGATTTGCACTGTGACCACAGGCCCAGAGACAGTGTATGATGTCCTCTCTAGACCTACCGCAGCATCTGTGGGTATAGAAAAAAGGTAGGTAAGCAGCATTCCCCAGCTTTTCTAGGAAGATTTGATGAAGTGTTCACTCACTGTCGTTATCCAGTATAAGTATTGAACTCTGATCAAACGTGGGCTTTGCTACAGTGAGTGCTGTTGTGAGTGAGTTATTCAGCACTCTCAGTTCTAGACCGAGATACTCGTTTCGCTCCAAGCGTTGGTCTTCGTAGATGGTCTGATTGTAGCAGACTATTCTCGTTTCCTCACGTAGCAAGGCATCTATAGCATTAACAGAAGGAGTTTGTTGTTCATAATCTGTTCCCTCAATCCTCAAATAACGACCAAGGGACTGGGGTCGATCTGGAGCTGAGCAAAAAAAGTTAAATAGTGTATTTATTTGTGGTATGTTTAAAAACCTTACTTGCTTGTGGAGAGCCGGCTGGGATGTACATTGAGTTGAAGTTGCCAATAACAGAAACATTGACAGTTTCATCAAGAATGTCAATTGCTGGTTGTGTGAGATTGACACACACACTCACTGAACCTACATTCTCATCAACAGTGTAGGTTGTCTTCACAAATGCAACGACAAACAGATCTGAAGCCAATGCAGACACATTATTATGCAGTCCATGTAAGAACCAAGAGCTTACCATCGTCATCAGCAATGCATATGGTTAGCTCGCAGAAGTAGTTGTCAGCACTTTCTCCATCTTCACGGCACATAAAGAGCTCACGGCGACCAGGAACATCTACAGGGAGTATCCTCAAAGTAAAGCACTCTTCCGGTTCTTGAGAAAAATCATTTCTGATTGATAACACAAGCGGCCAAATTGAATCCATTTGAGCTCTCAGGTCGACTTGTATTTCAATGGGGTCATCGGGACTGTTTCTGCTACCGAAAACAGCATCAAAATCGGTTCTTGTAATAGCTCCAAGTGGTTCCACAACGGCTGTGCTAATAGATTCTTGGTAGCGGATTATCATTCGGTGCTCCCTCTCAGAAGCTCTCAGAGTAGCAACCTCATATAGGAGCTGCGTTAAGTCAGATCCAGGTATTGCACTTTCTTGCACAGTCCGAAATCTGTCTGTAAAACCTATAATCATCGCTATAATTGAGGGGGAAAGTTTGTTGTTAACTCACATTACAAAATATATGTGCTTACGATCATTATCAATAATTTTGATTTCAGCAGCCCCTTGTCGTCCGTGGCATTCTGTTTCTCCGATAAAAGTGTGAAAACAGGCAATTTCATCAGGAATATCTGCTCCTATCTCGGCAACTATTGCAAAGCTCTGTGTATCCTCATCCAGATCATCATCAAACAGCACGAGAATCTCTGGTATTGTGAATGAAGTACTGTTTGCAGGAATTGTAACTGTGATTGTGCCTTCCAAAAAATCAGCACCTGACGAAAGCAGACAGGAGTATGAGTTGAGTGACAAAAGAAGTGCTTATAGTTCAGACTTCTATGGTTTCTGTTTACTTTGGATGTGATTATGTACTTTGAACCAAATTCCGTGTACTTTAAAGGATAAATAAATTAGCACGCTGCTAAAAGTTTTCATTTTGTGCAAACTCCATCTTGAATTATTTGTAAGAGCAATTAGAAGCTGCTGGCTAAATTAGCTATACACCAGAAGCTGCGATTGTAATCATGCCAAACTATTATATTATTATTATATAGCTTCTCGGCACAAAGAAATGAGAGCTTGGGGAAGAGTCAACGCCAAACACCTCAATACTTTCTTGTAAAATGCTATCATAATGATCATAGCAAAAATCACACTCGTTCAAAAGGTCGGACACTGATCATGAAAAGTATATTTATAGCCAATAGAAAAGAAAGAAAACCAGAAGTCACCCTCCACCCCCCATCCTCCATCCGAGTACATACACAGACACAAACAACAGAGTTGCACACAACAAGGTATATAGGACACCAGGTGCCCAGCCTTGAGAACTGGGGCGGTGGGTTAAACAGTCTTTTACGTTAGTCATGTTCAACTCGTGCCTTGACGCAATTTACCAGGAAGTACATACAAAGTCTTTACATACACCTACAGTGTGTGTGGGCAGTGTGTCTGGTGATCTAAGACATTGATGTGATCACTGGTGTGTGACCTGAGCATTACCTGATGTGGCTGCACTTAGAATATTGTCGGAATCGATGAATAGCCCGAGCCCTTCATTCACGGCTCCATCAACAGAGACAGATCTCAGGGTTACTGTGAAAGGATTTTGATTCCTTCTGAATTGAAGATTTAGTCCGTCTATTGCAGGTGATCCCTCCAAAACTGAGTAGTCAAGTTGGTCAAAGGTTATTTCCAGCCCTATCGGAATAGTTATGCAGCAGATTAAGGGTGAATTATCACTATAATTAGATACTCACGATCATCATCTGTAATATTCACAGTGACAGTGTCCCTGACATACTCTCCTAGCCCTTCAAGAGTAGTAATAAGACTGGGACTTTCAGGAGTGAACCTCAGTTGAACTCTATCGGCATACTCGAGAGTGATGTCATCGTTCGGAGCAGACAGACTAGTCTCTACTCTGTTAGTGAAACTAGACTGCGGAAATACTGCAAAGTCGACTCACCTATAGAATCACGAAACACAATTTTAAATTAAACGTGTGTATATAGCTACTTACTAGCAGTGCCATCTGCAGCAGCAGTTATGGTTCCGGCGATAATCAGCTGGGTTTCACTCTGTGTCATGCCCTTCACATTGAGCCGAAACGTAACGTCCAATATCCCATTTTCTGTTAAATTATACTCGGTTTGGAGGAACCCATGAACTAAGAAACAACAAAACAATGGCAAAGAATAGATACATCTACAATTAACAAACCAATGCAGAGATGACAAGAGGTTCCACTGTTGAATGAGAGACCATCGTTTGTTTCCACGCAGCAGTGTCGTTGACCTGCGTCTGCGATTTGATTTCCTGTACAGTTGGCGCTGGTATAGCACTGAGCCAGCCCTCGTCCAGTAAAGAAGAGAAGGCAAAAGGCGAGTAGAAGCATCACTTCTAGCCTAACACAATCACAGATAAACTACGAGTAGGTGGTAAGGTGTAGCGGAGGCAGTGCTATCTACCAACGAGGTGGAAGGAAATGTGCGGGCGAAGAGAACTTCCGCTATAATTATAACTGGAGGTCAGGAGGGCGACGCCGATCTGTGACTTCATAGCTATTCCTGTGTCAGTTGCATACAACGAGGGTATCGGAGCGGTAGCTATATTATCTGATAAGCGACTCTCACTCTCACTGTATTTCTAGTATCCAGATGAAACTTGGTAATTTGTGACCTGGCAAGCAAAAAAGGGCCCTACTACGCTTTATTACATAACCGTGTAAAACGCGTAGTAAAGTTTCATGACATCATTTCCTAGCCACTTTTAGAATGCCATAGCAACCCCTTTATGTTTTCCCTTACACAATCAATAATCACATGAGCGTGCTGGAATTGTGACAGTCAGAGAATATGCCAATTCTCCAGAAGTGAAAGTCGAAATATTCAAGAAAGATATCGATCAAAGTTCTCTTCGGGGACACAACCGAATAATATTCCGACAGGTCTATGCGAAACGCCAATGGTACTTATACGATGAGATCAGGCCATTTGTTCTAATAACTTAGCTAAAGACATGACTTGTCCAAACCATTCAGTTCCGAGACCAGAGACTGCATCTCAACAGAAGAAGTGAAAGAAGACCTAAAAACGCCCACGCATTATTAATTAGCTATGGTTGCTATGGTGTTTTCACAGTTACCGTACAAGATTTATATGAATAAAAATTTCGTATATAGTATCGTTTGTAAAGGTTCCTAATGAACTTTGTTGCAAAAAGTCATTTTAATATTCTGTGCCATAATTGCCCTTTTTGTCACATTTGTACGTACTTTATCGATGAATGTTTCTGTTCGTCATAGCGAATTAGCTACCAAGTATCCACTGGACTGCGGAAGCACGGCGCGCTCGACGCCGAGACACACGCGCGTAGGTATACGCATGCGCAGGTCGGCGTTGGAGTCGTAGAGCGTGCTTCCGGCCAGGAGAGGGTGGAGGAATCCGTTACGCGAGCCACGCCCCCTTATGGGCGCCGCACAGGGTCGTGAATAGCGCTGCCTTTCCGCCCCGTATCCTACCCAGCTTATAGGCTCCCAAACAGTGAAGCCAAGTAAAGACTCTGCTTGTTGGTAGCCAGCTAGCAAGGAGCGTTTCAAAGCATGGCCACCGTCAATATCCGAGTGGAGGGGATGGTCTGCCAGAGCTGCGTTCAAAACATCGAGCAGAATCTCTCCAAAAAGGACGGAGTTAGCAGGGTAGCAGTGTCACTGGAGGAGAAACTGGCCCGAGTTACTTACGATGCTGCAGTCACTAATCCGCAGGAGCTGGCGGACGAGATTGAGGAGTTGGGCTTCGAAACGATGCTACCGTCCGTCGCGGCTTCGAGCGGCGCGAGCAAAACGTGCACTATTGGGGTCGGTGGAATGACCTGTCATTCATGCGTCTCCCTCATCGAGGACGGACTCGGAGAAATTGCAGGTGTCGAGTCTGCAGCTGTTTCCCTAGAGAAGGAGCAAGCGGTTATTGTATTCAACCCATCAATGGCTAGCATAGAAGATTTCAAAACTGCCATCGACGACATGGGTTTCATTGTCAAAACTCCAACAGGTAAGTGTGACTTTTGCTGCAGGAAAAGCAATATGATAGGAAGGTGGTATTTTTCACAGAAAAGGAGGGTGATGTTGTGGAAGATGATGATGAAGTTCCTCTGATCCGCCAGCGACGATCACGAAGGACTCCAAGAAGAAGTCGTCGCAGTAGGCCTAAGAGAACAGGTTTGTCAACAATACTACTACAGCTAGCTACACAGTCTAGTTTGAATAATATAGCCTCAGGGTGTAGAAATGGCCATGCAGTAGCTAAGGTATGGCATCAAAGAACTTGGTTTTTTAAATTGTAGTGTGTGGGGGGGGGTTGCCATCTGTCTCAAAAGTAACCCAAAATAAGTACATTTTGCACCCAACTCCCAGTGACTGTGTGCATGCCTACACATAAGTGGTACCTCTGTACTCCATGAATGTACTTTTGTGGTGAGCCTACCTGATAACTGTCTGAACTCAGCACAATTCCCACTACTCCACATTGTCTAGTGTTGCTAAATCAGCAAAATGTTGCAAGACCACACTACCCATCACACTTTGACCTGTGCTATGAATAATTTCTGAGCCCTAATTATGTGTGTGGGTTGAGAGAATAAACATTATGGTGACTATAAACAGGTTTTCCGTCACGGGGTGTGCACCAAAAACTGTTGTTATATAATATTGTGACAAGTGCTGGAAGAGAAGAGAAGCTCGCGTACACTAAGCTATGGCAGGTCACTCAATGAGACTTCAATGATAAATGGCAAAACAAGACTGCCTTTTTCAACTTCCTACTTTAATCTTCCCTTAAGTAGATGGAGTACTAACGTGGTGGGCCAACCAATGAGATTCAGGGTTCATTTAGTTGCTATTGCTTGCTAGTTAGCTTGCATCATTTTCATTTGGCTAGAATTATGTAAATAACCTTATGTGACTATCCTATGCACATTAGGTGGACCTGAAAACCTGTAACCTCTCCGCAATAATGCCTTCCAGGCTCATATATACATAGCTGTGGTGTAGGAACTATGTGCTTCTGACCAGTTTATTAACCCTCGGCGCGCATGCGCAGCGAGGGTTACAGTAGTTGGGTCTGTCTGTCTGTGTGTTACTCTACATCTCACTTCACGGGTGTTTGTTCGTCTCACAAAGGTCAGAAAATATGTGGGGTTTTCTCTGAAAATGCTCCGTTGCAGAGCTACAGCGTGAAAAAGGCAATATGCAAATACACAACGGACGGGACGGCTTACCACAGTCGGATCGATCCGCGTGCTCTGCGTACCTCGGAGGCACCAGAAGATGCAACGCAGGGCGTGTATCGCCTCTCGCATGCTATCTAGTAGTGTAGTTAGCCCGTGTCAGACTCTGCGCGAGCTGGCAAGAGACCACGAGTAACAGCTAAAACTAAACCCAGCCCATCAATTAGTGGTACGGCGCATGCGTTTACTTACGCGTGCACGTCACAGTGCGCCGAGGGTTTGCACTTCAGTGCTTTTCATTCTCCAAGCTCTGCTGTGAAAGTAATTTGCACATTTGTGGCAAAAACCTGGATACTACTGCGTTTCCTATTACGCTTTACTTTCAAAAGCGTAAAGCATATTGTCTCTTGAAAGGTTTAAATGTCATGTACCGCTTCCATCTCACATGAATATGGTATTCTAGGCAGAGGCCGCTGTACATGCTTAATTTCCCTGATTATCACATTATCACAGTGTCACAACTCACTGACAATGGTACATGTACTTGCCCCAACCATTGTTACATTGCCATGATACAAGTGGAAAAATCATTTCCGGATGTAGGGACGGTGTAAATTATGAAAAGGACACCAACGAGAAGATGCCTCAGCTGATAACAAAAACAAACATCCATCCCTACATCTTTCTTTCTTTTGCTCTGTAGAAAAAGGTTAATTGTCATAAAGTATGTAAGAACATATATACCACAGTGGAGGTTGTATGAGTAACGAAAGATGTAGGTATATATGGATGTATGATTTTTTTTCAGCTGAAGCGTCTTCTTGTTGGTATCCTTTTTCATAATTTACGCCATCCCTACATCCCCCTTCATTTTGAAGAAAAGATTTGTCCACTTTTTCCACTTACTTTTTTAGCGCATGCTCATCCCCACCCATTTCGCGCTGCAGAGTTATGGGGGGTGGGGGCTGCTGCACGCATGACGTATAAAAGCGGCATTACGCACGCATTATCGACAGAAGACCCCCCAAAGGTGACGTAATTTGTGATGCCCACGCTCTTGCATTGCACGCCTCTCATGCGTAGCGGGTGCATGCGCGAAAATAAAAAAAGGTGGAGGCTATAATAGTAGAGAAGTGGGTTTAAAGAAGAAGCTTGTAGGGTCAAGGTCTTGACAAGTGCAGTTGTAATCCTGCACCTTGAACATAAAATAGTAAGCAAGCATCAGACGGAAGAATGCGAAGCAAATTAACAGAGGAGTAGACAGGGCTGGAGTATGGTTACAAACGCTATGTCAGCAATGGTAGTAAGGGGCAGATGCGTGAGTGATATGGGCTAGGGAAAACACTTCAGAGCCCCACCTGCCATGTGCCCTCAGATAATCAACAGGTCAGATAATCAGCAGGGTATCCTCCCAGGAACAGCTCACCCTCTCCCAGGTTGGTTGGAGACACCAGCGCCCTTTAGAAGGAATCTTAAGTTACTAATTTGTTCAGAATAAGTGCAGGTAGGAAGGGTGCTGATATACTGCAGACAAAATTTAGGTGCACTGATGTTTAGATGAGTATTGTGTAGCTTCAAATCAGTAGTATCCCAGCAGGTGTAGCTACTGCACTCCTCAAGGGAGGAGGATCACATTAGTGTCTGAGCCAACTGCCAGTCTATCACTCACTACTGCAACACAACTGTCAGTGTACAGAGAACACTACGGTGGCCGATAGGTGCCATGCCGATTTCCATTCCGTTTTCCATTCCAAATTCCGTTTTTACGTTCCACATTCCGTGTTTCTCACTGTGGCCTGCTCCCCATGTGCTAGCCAAGGGAGGACGAGTGAAGTGTGCTCGCCAATACAATTGCCATGAACACTGCTACACGCTGGGAGTGAACTGGGTCCGCCAGGGAGACCCTAGCCTCCTTCCCAGGCCCCGCGCGATCGTCCGTCACTCACTACTAAGGGGTGTGACCACCCCTGCGACCGCGGGCGATGCGTATATATACCGACTGCAGTGCTGCTATTTGGGACTCACATCATGATTGGTAAAAGCTCATGCAATCCGCACGAGCGCACAGGGTTTAGGGTAAGGGTAGTAGTATGCTAACTCGCGCCTGCCTTGGTATGCACCCAGATTTCGAGACGCTAGACACACTCTCACCCCTAGCTACGAGCTCGTAGGTTACAAAAACGGAAATCGAGAACAGCATTTGGAACGCATTGCTGGAAATTGGAAAATGGAATGGAAAACGGAATGAATATCGGCATGGCACCTATCGCCCACCGTAGAACACAGACATTCACCTCTAACAGTGTGCTACCTCAACTTTGTGATGCAGTTACAGTCCCCTAAAACCTTGTGGATAGGTAAAGGCAGTGCATTATTTTCCCTCCAACTTGAGCTCCATGAAATCTGAAAAACATGAAATGGGGAAGCCAAATAAATTACGGGAACCCACCCTCTCCTCTCCTTCCCCAACATGTTCAGTTAGCATATTGGTGTTCGCATCGTTCAGTAGGGGGCAGCCACCAGCCCGGCGTACCAAGGTGGTGGACAATGACCAGTATCCTTTAAAGTCAGGTCAAATCCAGTTTGTCTGTCCCATTGCTCTGGGTTGCGTGTCTATGGCCCTAGTGCTATGGCAGCCACCTGAGTATTATTTTCTCACACGTGTATATGCTGTGCGTTATTTAGAGTAATCGCACGTTTTTTCTATCTAAGTTGCATCGTCATACTGCGTATGTTTCAGAGTTTTTATATTTTTCTATGAGTCTATTAATTTGGGTGGGGGGGCGGTAAGGGTTCTTTCCTCCTTTTAGCTAGTATGCTATAAACATGTTTTTTCATGTTAACAGGGATGCTTACACTTTCTACTGTGGTTATAACACCAAACGGGGAAGCGACCTAAAGTAAATTGCAGGGACCGGCCATCTCCTTCCCTAACATGCTCAGAGAGCCCATGTATAGTCTCTATTTAAGCTTGTGGTTTCTTTTTAGAACCTTTTTCGTTCCTAGGGTATTTCAACTTATCGATGAATACTGTGGCCACTAGCTTGCTGCAGTCAGAGAGAGGACTTCACTGCAGTGAAATAGTTATAGTGTGTTTTGAAGGCCTAACTATGCGTTTTCGCCGAGTTCGGAGGCTTTTGTACGCGGATCACGTGAGATTTCACCCGTGCCATTCCTATGTAGAGTGTCTGCCGACGCTCTGATTACAGTGCTTATGAAGGCAGATTTGTAACACTGCTACTTTAAAGTCGCTGAACAGGTGGTTGCTGTACAATATTATGCTGTAATGCAGAGTTCATTTTACTTTGGCCATTCACTTTGATAGAAATAGCCCCGTGGAACTATTAGAAGAAGAGTGTTGCATTTTACTTAAATACCTTATTTGTTGATGGGAGAGAACAATGTCATCAAGCATTATAGATGACATGAGTAGAGAGTGTAAAACTGCTGTCAGCTGCTGTCACACAGGAAAATATAATATACTGCTCTTTCTTGCCTTGCTAAACTTGATGGTTGTTTATTTATTACAGTTGGGAAGGGTTTGGAGCAAAGTTTCAGGGAAGTTACTATGGATACAATCGGTGAAGAATTTCTACTACGAGCTCAGTTTAATCTGTCTGGTCTGAACTGCGCCTCGTGTGTTGCGAAGGTGGAGAAACATCTCAAAAAGAAGAGCGGTAAATAACACACACATTATTATACACACACACTTTTTGTAACTTTTCACTGTAAGTAACATACGTACTATTAAATCTCCAGGTGTGCACTCTGCAAGAGTGGCGCTACTTGCTGGGAAAGCGGAGGTGAAGTATAATCCAGAAAAAATATCCCCTGAGATTATTGCACAGGAAGTCAATAGCCTCGGATTCACTGCAGTGTATTTGCCAGAGGCCAGCTCCGGAGGAGGCACTATACTCGAGCTCAAGGTCTGTATTTTCTTATATACACCATTTATTGGAAAAATAAACGAACGATAGAAGCGCTCATATGTAAGTGAATGGGAAGTATAGTGATGGAGGGCAGTATGGAAATGCTACGCAAAATACGGAAAATTTGTTATTGCCTGAGAACGGATATTGCCAGCGCTAACTTGCAGGTTATGGCACATAACTGTGCCACAATGTACAGAGTTTAGATTTGCCTTCGTGTTGTATAGTGCACTATTTTTAGCCCGACTGCTGAGCTATCCTGGTAGTTCTATACGTACAGTGCTGTGCCTAGAGAAGAGAGTGTTATAGGTTTGTACTACCGCTAGCGTTGTTGTCACACGGTGACTGATGCATTCTGGTAATCAGGTGTCCAATAACACACGAATGTGGCGGGAGATGTAGCGAAAAAAGAGAATGATTATGCATCATTTTTCGAGTCAGAAAAGGTAAAGAAACATTAGTTACCCAATCTCAATGGTAACTGTGGTAACTGCCATCTGCTGGAACAAACACTGCAGGGCAAAAGAATTCATTGTAACAACTACCATACAATACTTGCAGGAATTTTGCTGATTTTACTGATTTTACTAGCTGCCTTTTATGGCAGTGTATTATGAAGATCGACAATCTATTGCAGGTTGACAGTGAGCCAATGCAGCTGACAATAAACCAGGTGCTAATGGGGAAGGAGGGGATCATTGGAGTGACAGTCGACAAGCACAGAAACGCTCGTGTTGAGTATGACAACACTGCAGTAGGACCAAGAGATATTCTGCAAATGGTTGAGGTGAACAAAAAAAACACGTATGAATGTAGGTATAATATTGCTCTAGGGCAGCAATAGAAAGTACTTAAATGCCGATATACATTAAACAAAATATCACTGGTGTCCAGTGAATGACAAACCTCTGCATGTTCTTACGCTTATAGTTGTCTAGAAGTTGTGATATCTCCTTTTGTTACAGAAAGAAGGATTCACTGTGACTGTCCAGGCAAAGAAAAGGGGCCTAGTAAACCATGGCAAGGGAATCAGGAAGTGAGTGTATTGTGTGTTATTGTGGCTGGGTTTTTAGCAAGTGGAAAGTGAGCACACTACAGTCAAGCATGAACATTTATACACCGCAGAGTTTCAACACTTTTTTGAATTGACATCATAAATTGTTGTAAATACACAGTAGTACTATATGAATGAAAAGCACTGAAATGCAAACCCTCGGCACATTACGCATGCGCGGCACCGCTAATTGATGGGCTGGGCTATGAGTATGCATTTACTCGTGGTCTCCACGCTAGTTGGTCACGGAGAGTCTGACACGAGCTAGCTACACTATAAGATAGCATGCCGATGTGGGAGTCGATACACAGCCTTCGTGGTGACTTATTGTTCCTTCGCAAGGTACAAAGAGCAAGCGGATCGGTCGAGGTAAGGTGGTGCGGTTATGCATATTATTGGCTTTTTCACTTGTTTTCACGGCATATCTCGAATGCAGTCGTTCCAGGAAAATCGCCCTTTTATTTTTCAGGTTCGCGTACTTCTGAAGATGTTGGTATCGCTCATGGGACGCCTCGTAGCCTGTAGTGCGAGAATAGCTGCATACAGATGGGCAGACAGACAGACTGTATGTACAGTACAGTACTGTAACCCTTGCTGCACATGCACGCCGAGGGGCAACAGTTGTGAGGGCTGCATATCCGATATGGTAGATAATTACAATGAATGTCTTTTTGGCAAGAAAACGTAGGTATGTATATATATATATATATTGGGGACCAATTAAAAACCCGGCCCATTTTAAAGCCGTCTGACGGCTTTAAAACGGGCTGGACCGCTTTAAAATGGGCCAGACGGCTTTAATTCCGGCCCGACGGTTTTCAAGCCGCCCCGACAGTAAGCCAGACGGTTTTTAAGCAGACGCTCAGGATGACCATGTCGTGCATGCGGGGCCGGCAGCAGTGTCGTACTGTGCCATAAGCTGTTCCAGCCACCGGCCTTGCTAGCACGGGTCTGTGCATGAATAAAACTGGGCCGGCAGCAGTGTCCTACCGTGCCAGCAGCTGTTGTTCCAGCCAGCGGCCTTGCGAGCGCTGTCGTCTACTGCACCCAGCGGCAGCAGAGAAAACGAGGACGGGCTGGGCAGGTGATCGCGGGAGCTGAGTCTAGTCACGTACTGCACACGTGCGCGATCGATCTTGCGCGCATGGCCGTGACAGCTAGCCCTCGGCGGGACGAGTGTCAAAGTTCGCGGCCGATTGCTGAGATAGATCGCAAAATCAGGGCTGGACAGTAGCGACTGGTAGATAGGTTGCTTCTTCCTGACGGCCTTCAATCGAGCTGGACGGTTTTAAAGCCGTCTGGACGGCTTCTAGACGGCTTAAAACTGGTCTGGATGGCTTTAAAACCGGCTGGCCCGTTTTAAAACCGTCTGGACGGCTTTAAAACAGGCTTCTCGTTTTTAATCGGTCCCCAACATTATATAATTATATAAATCTCAACTAGCACTTGATGTAATTATTCTGTATTTGCAAGTATGAATGTAATTTTCGTAACAGGTGGGCATTTATCTTCACCGTCGGCCTGATAGTGGGAATCCCAGTGTTTATCATAAAGTACACTCCGTATCGACACACGGTACATGACGGCAACAGTACCCGTATGTCTAACGAGTGGCCTCGTATTGGAGGAAACGGCCCTAACACCCGAGTGTTTATACTGTTTCTTCTGGCCACACTTGTTCAGGTTTGTTTAAAAGCAAAGGTCCGCATAGGTCCTTGGGTACAACATAGCAAGGGTTTGTTTAAGGTTTAAGGTTTAAGCTTTTTGTAGCCAATGAAAGAAAGGTCCTTAGGTGGTGGGGACAACATAAAATGGCTCAGGAGAGAAAAACTAAACAGCATCCACTGATAGTGGTTATCAACTATAATTGTAAAATTTTTTACTCCCCTTACAGTTTGTAGGTGGATATCCATTTTACAAGGCGGCCCTCCAAGGTCTCCGACACTGCTCAGTTGGGATGGACCTCCTGGTTGTTCTCGCGACCTCCATTGCCTACGTGTACTCTGTGGCCGTTCTCATATCTGACTCTGTCGTCAGCGGGCTGAATTATGAGACCTTCTTTGACAGCGTGGCCCTGCTGATTACATTTATCTCCTTTGGTAGACTCCTGGAGCACATTGCAAAGGTCTGTTTTATATGTAATGAGACAATTTGCTTAGTAAACATGCTTCACTATGCACTCTGTCTACCTCAGAGGAGGTACGACACTATGACGTCTCCTCTGTGTCTACTCCCTAACCAGGCGAATGCAATGCAGTTTGGCTATTATGGCTGAATCGAGCCTACTGCACGAAGCGTACAGCACGTGCCACAAGATACTTCCCCGCGCACATACACCAAGCATACACCCAGAAAAAAAGCATGCTAGGAGCATGTGTATAATGTCCAGATGATGGAGGAAGGAGAAATGCAAAGTACATAGTTAGCAGTCCGCTCCAAGCGTTGTGAAAAAGTATGGAAGGTTTGGCTATGGCAGTAAGAATACACATATCCACACAATCCATGCAGCTTGATTCTGTTTCGCATAATTTCAAATACAGTCACATAAGTCAGCCTGTTGTCAAAAGTAAGTTTGCTTGCTCCTACTTGCTGATAATTGACTAACACCAAATCCTTAACAAATCGCAAGCAGTTTTAAGCCCATGTGTACCATACTTAGGGAAAAACAACTGATGCTTTATCGAAACTGATGTCCTTGCAACCAAGCACTGCTGTTTTAGTACACATGGATGAAAACCAGCAGGAAAGAAGGTAAGATGTATATTGCTAACATGTGCTATGCCTGAGTTTCTTATCAATACAATAGTGAAGAGAAGATATCTGTAGATTTGGTGCAAGTTGGAGACTTTCTAAAGGTTGTTCCCGGGGAGAAGATACCTGTGGATGGGGTCGTTGTAAAGGGGAGATCTGTTGTTGACGAGGCACTAATTACTGGGGAGTCAATCCCTGTCACTAAGGAAGTTGACGATCACGTGATTGGAGGGACCCTCAATAAGAACGGGTCACTCATCGTGGAAGCTACTCACGTCAGTGGAGATACAATGTTGTCCCAGATTGTCACCCTCATTGAAGAGGCCCAAACATCAAAGGTAAAACTAGCTGCTGGTCAAGGGTAAGGAGATAATAATAATAGTAATAGCAATTCATGGCACTATGTATGCCAAAACCAGGCACTTGTTATTTTGTATCAATTGGCAAGTAATATCTATACAGGAAAAATATTCAGATGTGGTATGACTATGGCTCAGTTCACCAAAATTAATGTCCTATACTACTGCCCATATGTGAAAAAACAAATGCCTAGTTTCCGCGTACACTGTCACATTAATGGGAAAATTGCTACCTATTTGCAGTATAGTACCTACGTAAATCTGCTTTTTCCAGGCCCCAATCCAGCAGATAGCAGACAAAGTTGCTGGATATTTCGTGCCAATGATCCTAACCCTGTCTTTTCTGACCTTCTCTGGCTGGCTGATTTTCTCCCAAGTCTGCCTACATTCCAGAAACAGTGTAAGTTGACATAAAATTGTTACAGGAGTGGCACCTATAACATTCACTAAAAGTACATGTTTCTATGCAGTGTGAAAGCTCAGGAGGCAGTTCAAACTTCTCAAACATAACTATAAATGGCACATCACCTTCATCAAATAGAGATAGCTGCTCTAGTGGTGACTGTGTGAATATTGACACTGTGTTTCAATACGCCATCTCGGTCCTGGTGATTGCGTGTCCGTGTGCTCTGGGTCTGGCCACGCCCACTGCTGTGATGGTGGGCACTGGAATAGGTGCCAGCAGAGGAGTCCTCATCAAGGGAGGAGAACCACTGGAGAATAGCCACAGAGTGAGCTTTATTGTATATATGGTTTTTCATGTTTCTATCTCCAAGTTGAGATAAGCTTTTCCATATTGCTATCTCAAAGTTGAGAATGATTCTGACCTGTTGAACCTGATTGTAGCCTAGTTTTGCTCATCTTGAAAGGCACTGCCGTAGTAGTATTCCCAGTACCCAAGCCGCCAGCCTGTCAATACTCATATCCTTGATGATATGTGGCTGCCGTTAATTGAGTCAATATGAGTATTCGCTGGCTGGCTAGCCACAGTTTACACAACAATCTAATATGCAAACAATGGCCACTGACCTTTCTTGGTAAGCTGTAGATGGCTGTGGCTACATCCCAAGCCGGTGGGCAAGGGAAAAGTGGCGAGCCAGTAAGCGAGAAGATCACACGCAAGCCAGAAAAAGGGGAGAGCTGGAGCGAGCGGGCTGTGTGCCATGCGTCACTTGTGTCGTTTTGAACATGCTGTTCAAAAATGTCAGCTTAGCTGCACCATAGCTGAGCTGTAGCATACGTGGTATACGAAGTAGACTCCAAAGAACGTCATTCCAGGTCTGCACGGCATCTTGTCTTCTCTGCTTGGTCCGCGCTACAGCAGCCCGCTAGAATTGCATGCTACACTACGCTCCACCGCTAGATAAAGTAGTACTCGCTCGAACAAACGGTCAACAGGCAGCATGGGGTCACCCAAGGTTGCTCTTGGCCTCCTTTCCCTCGTCTCGCCCACCGATTTCTGGCCAAATGTTGATGACGTAATATGGTTGCTAGGCTACAAATAGGTTAACTTACTTTCAGCGGTACAGGATATCCCCTCAGCTGTTTACTCTACCCCCCTCGGGCTCCGCCCTCGGGTACTAGAGTAAACAGCTTCGGGGATACCGCCAGTACCGCTTCAGAACCAGGCGTTAACCTATACTCAATGAACAGGTAAAGGTGGTGGTGTTTGACAAGACGGGAACTCTGACCTACGGTGAACCGGAAGTGGTTCGTGTTATTTTTCTAGTGAAGGAAGACCTGTTTCCCGCTCGTTTGTTTACTGCTGCTCTCGGGCTGGCCGAGAGTCGCAGTGAGCACCCTCTGGGAGAAGCCATTGTACACTTTGCTGCTGAGGTAGGTTAAATTTTACACACATCTCTTGTAAGGTGGGTTATGGCATAATAAGTACTCTAGCACAGATGTAATAATATTAGGCTGATCAGTGGCTGTATCAAATGCATGGTGACTATTATACAACAGTCTTATGCTGCACTATAATATACCAGCAGTAGAGAAATGTCAAATGCCAGAAACTAAAACTGTACCGAACAGGCAACTGCAAACTCTCCAGGAGGTGCAAAGTGCCAGTCGAGATTTCGCTAGCTTGAGTATTAATCCACAATTCTTGCGTTACCTTCATAATTATAACTGATAATATTCTTGCAACAATGTCCTCCAGGAGCTGGGAAAAGAGCCTGTTGGTGATATTGTTGACTTTGAAGCAGAGCCTGGCATGGGAATGGCCTGTACTGTGCGAGGAATTGAGGCTTACAACATCAAAAGGAGATCTCGGAATAACAGATCATCCCTCATTCGCAGGTTTGAGATGAAGTTTATCTGGTAAATCTTAAACAAATTAATGTTTGTTTGGCTATAGTGCAAAGTTTGTATCGTCAAGCCGAAGAGCACAGCGTAGCTTGACTTCAGCACAAAAATATAAGGTAGCATCGTACAGAAAAGGCTAACAATATTTATGCTTGTGTTGTTATTTTTATTATGAAAGGTTTTGGTTGGAAATCGTTTGTGGATGTCTCGCAATGGAATAAGTATTGCTGAAGAGGTTGAGAGGGATATTGTCTACTACGAGGAACAAGGACAAACTGTTGTTCTGGCTGCAATGAATGGTACTTTCCCGCACTCCATGGCTCAGTGCTGTTCTCTCTGTAAACCCCAGTGTGCATACACCAGATAGCTAACAGTCCTATTCCCATTTACTGCTGCATGTTTCTACCCCAAATGTTTCACTTTAGCGCTTTTCAAAGCTCTCAATCTACTCTTTCCCTCTCCTGCTTGCAGGCATTCTGTGTGGAGTGATAGTGATAGCAGACCAACTGAAGCCTGAAGCCAGTGGAACCGTTGCAGCTCTGCGTCAGATGGGCATCCGAGTCTGCATGTTGACCGGCGACAATCGGAGAACAGCCAATGCCATTGCAGAACGAGTACGTATGCCCTTAATTTCTATGCACTATCCTACCTGCTCACACACACTTACTCACAAGTGTCCATAAACTTTCTCTGTAGCAATTAATTGCAACGGTTGCAGTTTTAAACTTTTTGCCTCTCTCCGATTGCTACCTTTATTAGTGCAAATAATTCTCCCACACTAATGTATACCTTTTGGTTTTAATCGGTGGCTGATATACTTACAATATCCACTACCTCTCTAGGTTGGAATCTATCCCGAAGATGTGAATGCTGAAGTCCTTCCATCTCACAAGAAGAGCCAGGTGGAGAAATATCAAGAGGGAAAGACGAAGGTTAGACATAAACATACGTAAGTTAGTCCCTTCTTTCGCTTTCAGTGATTAAAACTGCATACCTTAGCTACACAAGAGTCATGGCACGCATGCTTTTGAATAATTCCACAGGTGGCCATGGTAGGCGATGGAATAAACGACTCTCCAGCTCTGGCCCAGGCTGATGTTGGCATTGCTATCGGGACTGGTGCTGATGTAGCAGTTGAGGCTGCTGATGTCGTTCTTGTTAAGGTTTGCTTGCACTTTTTTGAAAGGCTCTTATTCTGTGTGCAGATCAGTTCTATATATAATATTTCGCACATGTTTTCGCGGATATTTAGAATCACGTAAGCTTATGATATGTGATGTGGGTCCGTCTGCTGTTACAGATTTATATAATTATGGAAAATTTCAGACGACTAAGTGAGCTTGCTCCGCTCGCCAGTAATAGATGTGTTAGGCATCACAAGTACATCAGTGGTGATAACTGTGGATTAGTGTATGTACAAGTTGCCATATAATGTCAATGTAATCATGCAGAATAACCTCGCTGATGTTGTAACTGCCATCAAGCTCTCCCAGAGAACTGTCCGAAAGATTCGCATGAACTTCGTGTGGGCTGTGCTCTATAATACCGTCGGTACGTCTATCTAATGATCACCTAGCCTTTTCGGTTCAAAACATCCACCATTAATCATACCAATGCTCATGCAATGGTATAATGTGCTTCTCATTTATGTTCACAAACTTTTCACCTGATAAGCTGTAGCCTTTTCTGGCTATACGGTAGAACCATCACTCAAGCATTCTCCCTCGCGTCATAGTGAAGCCATTAATTTTGGTTACTCAGTGAAGTCTATGTAGGCATCACCGTCAAACTATTGGCAATGTAGCTACAGCCCAGTTAAGGTGCTCTAATCGTGTGCGTGTTTGAGATTTTAGCACGAAGCGAAAGTCACATATCCTTACCTTACTAAAGGCATTCCAATTGCTGCTGGGGTGTTTTCTCCACTGGGAGTGTCTATCCAGCCGTGGATGGCTGCAGCTGCCATGGCCCTCAGCTCTGTCACCGTCGTCTGCAACTCTCTTCTCCTCCGATGTGTCTGGTACGTGCAATATACCTCGCACAACAACAGTGGAAACTCGATAAGGGACCCCTCTGATATAGGGATGACCTCTCTACAAAGGACACTTTTTCAACCCTGTACGAATACCATAGTGTATTATTTGACCTCCGAGATAGGGACGACCTCTCCATAAATGACAAATCGGTGCATAGTGTCCCTTGTTCAGAGGTTCCCTGTATTGTGGTAAGAATATGTACACTAGATACGTGAGTGAAGGTATTCTGTGTATATCTGATCCACAGCTACCGCAAGCAACATATTGAGAACCTGGACACGGGCATGAACGTTGCATCGACACATACAAGGATCGAGTACCGAGGCTACCAAAACCTCGATTCTGGAGATGGCGAAGTTGTGTTGAAACGAGTATCTACGCGCAGAGGGAGGGAAAGCAAACGGCGGGTCACCAAGTCTGGGGGTTGGAGGGAGGAGGATGTGCCCCTTGTCAAATCGATAGAGGAAGAGAGCATGGAGAATGCTTATGGAGCAGTTACCAAAGACATTATTGTGTGATACATGATTGTTTGATGCATTACTAAAAAGGACGTATGTAACTCTTAGATACAAAAGTGTTTTGTTTTTTTAGTTTTCTGCCAAGATTTGGTACCTAAATGTGAAAAGTGATGCTTAAAATGTAGATGTATTATGAACACTTTAAGGAGTATGACATGGCCCCCCAAAATTGTGGTCAAATGTTACTTCATTATTTTACCCAGAAAAATGTCTCTGCGCAGCAGTCTCTCGATCCCCTATCCCTGGCCCCCCCAATCAAGAAATCATTCCTATGTACATACGCCTATGATAATAATGGTAAATAAAAAATTTAAAAAGTATGGAATATAGCAAGGAGACAAGACAGGGATGACCTAGTGAATGTGATGCAGTAGTATGATGGATGATGATGGTTGCATCTTCAAACTGACATTTCTTGCTCGTGCGTATTTTGCTTTACACAAGCCCTATATTGTCGCAAAGGCACAAGTGATCTCTATTGTATATATGGTGTGCAGCTATGACTTGTTTCCTATGCACATATAAAAGACTGGTAGCCCTCTGTGAAGAATTCAGGACAACCTGTGTCATCCCTATAACTACTGTACTTAGTGATAAAATCAGTTGGAATGAGCTAAATCAACAATCATTACTTTTATGGCGTTGATACATAGTATTGCTGTAATGTAGAAAAAGGGGAGGGATGCCATGATGGTTCAACAATGACCTTTTGTGTATATATTGCTAGATAAAACTGCAGTGTAGGACCCTTCCATACAAATAGTTATATAAATTTCATCAATTTGCATACACCCTCAGGGTATGACATCTGTTCTTCTCCATGCATGTTAGCATTTGTTGTGATAGCGATTGGAGTGGCATGCTCAGGAATGTCCTGCCTCATGTTTTCTTCACCAACAGAGAAGAGTCACAGTAAACAAGTTGTAACATAAAGTGGTTTATGGTTCACGGTGACAGGCCAAATATATAGTTCACCATGACAGTTTCCTGTTGGTGACGACACAGATGGAAGCTGTCACTGGCCTACAGATGTGTCACATGAGAGCGTTCGCGCAAGCGCAAGCGTGCAGGTGCATTTGCCGCTATGCAAATAATATGCCGGGGCGCGCGTGTGGCAATAGAGCGCGGCGTGCGTGGTGACGCGGTGGGTGTTTTGGGCCGCAGTAGATCTTAGCGCGCTCATATTTCATTATGGCGTGGGCTAACCACTGTCTAATACATCACTCAATTTGTTCCCTATTTCAAGTTACCAGTCTGATATAAAAGCAAAAATTATCCGCAATGGTCATCAGTGATGACGTTTGATGGCTGGACAATGAGGAAGATGAAGAATCCAAACCCTGCTCCAAGGATCACACTGAGGAACAGCCATCCATTGTAGGTCATTGCCAGGAGCATGAGAATGTAGGCAAGCCCAATCTCCACTGTCCGCATCAGTGCAAGCACCACACGCATCAGCCAGAGCTTGATACGCCTGGAGTGGAGTGAGATAGGACCATATAGTCTTTGTAACAATCAAAAGTGCTTTGAAGTGGATGTTTTCAAAACTCTTTCGTGCATTCATTAGGGCATAGTACTCTTAGCTATCAGATTCTACTATCAAAACTTCTGGTAACTATGTTCCCTCAACTATAGTAGCGTCCCAAATTGTAGTACCCACTTTCACTCACACAGCATAGTACGTTGTAGGTTTCTTCTCACTTTGTATATTATAGCTATCATGTATATGCTATTCACAGATGGCATGCATAAACATCACTATACATTGCATTGCACACATTATTTTATTCCTGATATCCACAACATAGAATGGGTTCTCAGGCCTAACTCGTAGCTTTGTTTCTTGGCGCTACTTAGATCCCACCCACTTTTCTTGAGGAAGAGGTATCAGTCACACTCATTAAAACACCTCATAGGCATATATACTATTCTCACATTTTTATAGTCTAGATCTCAAAATTGGGACCTCAAATTACATTGCATGACTGACGCATCCATATACCAAGTATATACCTGCATTTAATAACAGGTGCGTCAAGTTCCATGCTTATTTTTGATTTCTCTTGGTTTGGTTGGTAAAGGAAGTGCTTTGTCTTCTTGGCAACCATATTCCTGACTGTCTTCAGCCCTTCATACACAACAGCCAGAGCAAAGCTGAAGACAATTGCTCCAACCAGCTCTGCAATAGAGGAAGTTATAGTAAGTATGTCATACAAAGCTAATTATGATTCATTAGTGGCTTAATTAACCACAGGCCTAAGTTCCACGTACCATCAAGACCTCAAGACGGGTCCTATGCTACTTCATTCAAGGACTTAGCTACAGATCTACAACTTACCTTCGGTAGTTTGCACACTCCATGACTCAAAGAGAAAGTGCGGAATGTCTTTTGAGAAGTGGAAGAACATCATCTAAAAGTCATGACGGTGTGATTTACGTCCTAATTGCTAGCAAACTTACCATATGCATGCCCATACCCATGCCCATATGATGCATCGCTGTTCCGTTCATCTCCATCATATTATCATTCATCTCCATCGCGTTTGAATGATCCATCCTTTTTTCTTTCCAAAGAAAGCTTGCTAAAGATACAGGGATGAGGTTCGCGTGTGCGTTGCCGGCGACCAGACAAACTCTTACGCCCACCACCGCGTTATTGACTGTAGCTACGACGTGGGCGTTACGTCATGGCCGGGGGATACGCGATAATGTCATGCTGTCACATCGAAGATTCATCCCTCGTCTATACAATAGCTACTCAGTTAGCTATTGGAACCACGAAGATTGGAAAGAGGTACAGTCTCGGTCAGGCATCGAAGAGCGCAGCGAATTGGCGCTGAATGGACGATTGTTCTCTCGCTGGCTGGATTCGCATCGACATGACAGGCTAGGCACGTGATCCTGACGCATGCGCAGTACCGATAATCCTGCAGCTACTAACCCTACCTGAGGTACTAGAAGTCAACCTAATAGGGCTCTTGACACCCTGTTTGCTTTCACATCTATAATGTTATTTATAATACAGAGGTTTGCTGCTCTATACTTATCCTGTTGGCTATTAGCTACACCCATACTTGGAGCAAATCTGTAAGAGTTGGCCACAGTTTCACCACCAGCTTGTGTTTAGGACAGTAGTCTGTTACTTTGGGTGATTGAGCAACAATTCTCTAGCATAGTGTCTCTCTGCTGCAGACGTTTGCGTTCGTGGCGGGCACAGCTAAAATGCATTATTGTCTCAACAACTTGGTAACGAGGTAGAAAGACAAGGCAAGGCAAACAAGTCAACTACACCCAGGACAGCTCTTTCTTTTCAAATAAAAGAAGAAGAGCTGCCCTGGGTGGGATTTGAACCCATGACACTCTGCAGTCTAGGCGAGTCGTTCTACCAACTGAGCTACCAGGGCAACTCAGCTGGTAGGGGTTTTAATCTACAACACAACAAAACACAAGACAAACCACCACTGTGTTATGGCACAGTATAATTATACTCACTCAGTATGTAGGAGCAGACCGGGATAATTAAACCACCAAAGACGGCACTGGTCCAACTGGGAATGTACCTTACTATATAGGAACTGAAGTTTTGGATTGAGGGATAATGAGCGTGCATGTACAATTAGGTTCGAAGTATATAACGTTTTTGCTTTCACAAGGCACCAGTGCATTTGTAGCAACACTGCTTGTAGTCTGATAGACCATTATTAGCGTGAGCTTGGTATGGGTTTATATAGAAAAGCGGGAAAACTCTAGCTATATGCTCTAAGTTAGTATTACTGGTTGTTGCTGGATAACATGCAAAGATGCATGATAATACCATCCCTGCAGCCACCAGACGAGCATCACAGCAGCACCCTGCACGCTCTGAACATGGTCAAGTACTGGAAGGAACAGCACATCATCTGTGTCACTGGCAAAATCATAGAGGAGCATATATATGAGGAGCGAGGAGTACCGGAAGCCTCAGCTGACAGTGGACAAGAAACACTGACTCTCATATTCTCTCATCTCTCACCTTCTGTCATTATCATGCATGTTGCCAGTCGACTAAAAGTGGTTCATGAAGGGGGTTACAATACTCACTTAGTCTCTGGTGTCAGAACTCAAGCAGTAAGAACAACTCCCAGACACACCAGGATCAATTTTTTTCACATGCAGGGGAACCACACACAAAATTGCACATGTAGCTCATAGTTATTGAACATAGTATATATACTGGCTGTCTTACAACACAGATTACACATGACAGTGGATGAGAAACAGACGAAAATTAAAGTCTTAAAAGCTATATGCTTATGTAGGTATAAAAAGCTTCAGTTCAGCACTTCCAGTAAAGGTGAATATCATTTTGGTAGGAATTAAGGTTCTATGGATGTGGGTGTTGTGCCGTTTTTGTAGTGTTATCGTCACAGTCATGATGGATTGAGTTTCATAAGAGTGCAAGTACGGGGAAGTAAAGACTGCACATCTGTCAGGCCTACCTGGGGTAAAACAAAGGAACCCTCGCCGCATACCACAGGAGCAGATAATAGTTGTTAGCTATACCTTCACAAAAATAATGATACAAATTTTGTAAGAAGTGACTCTATAACAGGATGAGAGATCTCCCTCCCCTTCCTCAAACTATCAGGAGAGCAGCAAAATATATGTGGAGAACTACATTCCACCACTTTATAACTCACCTTCACTGATAATAATTATTGTCTTAGCGGAAAGAACCCCAGCAGTTTCCAGCAGTAGATATCACCAACTGATAAGAGAGGAAGTGTCTGCAATTAGTAAAGACAATGGTGGACTGTAATAGCATACCATTTATTTGATGAGCAAGAGTTTTGCAATGTTAAAGACAGTAAAACTGAACAAATTAACCGAAAAAATTGGGGTTTTTAAAAATGTCCTAACCATCTTGCAAACCTGCCTCAAAAGACGATGAGTGACTGTTGGATTAAAGTACTCAGCTGAATGCATCATGTGACCTTACCTTCTGCCAAAGACAAATTTGCTGTCCCAAAAGTTATTCAACTGAAAGATAACATACACTTGAATGAATGATTATCACTGATGAAATGTAGCACTTACCAGATCCAACTGTATGTTAGGAAAACTTCCTACTAATGGTGATGCTCTTGTCTTCCCTAAAATAGTTAGCTATGTGTGTATAATTATACATATCGCATAAAACTATATGCTAAGGTTGATGTTAGAATGTGGCTCACTCTAGTCTGGTAAAACTAAGCGATGTGTAACCATGTTCCGTTGATGTTGATGGAATACCCTCTGAGGGTCTTTAAAAGGACGGTTGGAGGGGTTCAGTACAGTTTTAAGTCGATTGGGGGTTCAGGGGGGCAGAGCAGCAAGTTCATTCTAGTCAATTGGTGTAAGAGTTTTTTGAAGGATTGATTCAATTTAAGCAGCGTTCTCATTCATGTTCATTTTAGCACAGCACTAGTCATGAGTAAGTTTCAGATTCAATGGACATAAGGTGAGATTGTTTTGGGATCAATTTTGCTGTTTGACGGGTATATATAGTTTCAGCAAGCAGATGAAAGTCAGTATTAAAAGATTGTTTTGTTCTGAGGCAAGTGGAAGTGACCGTTGCTCATCTTTTAATAGCAGAGGGAGGCCAATCATTTCTGGGAAAAAGTTGTTAATGGTTCTTTGTAAAGACAGGTAATATTGTCTATCTCTCTTATGAGTATGTCTTAAGTTTTGTGTCGGTTTTCATTAGTCGATTCGAGGTTCGGGTGGCTAGTTCAGGAGTTCTGGGTGTTAGCAGTATTTCATATATAGCTACTCATGTTCATTTTGAGATCAGAGTTCCAAGTGGCAGTAATAAGCATATATCATTGTTTAGGAATGGCTTTGACAATCTATTTTCTGCAAGTTAGTACACAAGATTGAGTTTCTTTGTTTAGAGGCAAGTGAAAAGTGATCCTGCTCATTGTCCGTTTGTTCTTCACAAGAAGGAAGACTTATCATTTTAGGGAAATGGGAAATGAAACATGAAAAATATATTGTCAACTCGGATAATTGATTTACCATCCTTTTCATGACAGGACTGATCAGTTTGCGTTTGTTTCTCTCTATAGTTTAGAGTTCAATAAACAGTCAATTGGGGGTCAGGGGAGAAAACAGCCTATTCTTTGTACAGTTGGCATATGAGTTGTGAATCTAAGCTCATAATTATGTTGGGGACAGAATTCAATGGATAGCAATCGAAGTGCATACTTTTCACTTGTATAAAATTCTGCTTCAATGACTTGGTGGTTGTTTGACAACTATTATTTGCAAGCAGAAGAGTCGGTTTACAAGAATTTATTCGTTTTCGGGGCAAGTAAAATCATTTCATGTTAGGGTGGCATAGGGTATTACTAAATGATGACTCTTTGTCAACATGGGTTATCCCTATTGTCTATCTTTTTCATGACTCTTTTAAGGATTGATCATTTTTGTGTGGTTTTTCTTTTAAGAGTTCATTACAGTTTTTTTAAAAAGTTGATTAGTGGTTTAGGGGAAGAGCAGGTATAATAATAGTCATTTGTAGTCAATTGGTGTAGTAGTTCTGAGATAAAGCAGTAGCTATTGATGTTCAGTTTGAGATCAGAATTCAAAGTGGGCAATAACCTATTCTCAGTAAGTCACTACATATACACAAGATTCAGTTCTTCGTTTAGAGAAAGTGATCATTGTCCATTTGTTCATCACAAGGAGGAAGACTTATCATTTTAGGGAAATGAAACATAATAAAATAATTCCCAACTCGGATAATTGATCCTTTTCATGACAGGATTGATCAGTTTGAGTTGTTTCTCTCTACAGTTGAGTTCAATAAACAGTCAATTGGGGGGTCAGGGGAGAAAACAGCCTATTCTTTGTACAGTTGGCATATGACTTGTGAATCTAAGCTCATAATTATGTTGGGGAACAGAATTCAATGGATAGCAATCGAAGTGCATTGTCACTCGTATAAAATTCTGCTTCAATGACTTGGTATTTGATGCTGTTTGACAACTATTTTTGCAAGCAGATGATAGTTGGTAGCTATACAAGACGGAATTCCTTTGTTTTCGGGGCAAGTAGAATCATTTCATGTTAGGGTGGCATAGGGTATTACTCAATGATGACTCTTTGTCTACCTTTTTCATGACTCTTATTAAGGATTGATCAGTTTTGTGTGGTTTTTCTTTTAAGTGTTCATTACAGTTTCTAAAGTCGATTGGGGGTTTAGTCCGACACTGATTTCACTTCAGCTCCAGAGGGATCCATCGTGTCGTGCAGTCACCATCCGTTGTCGACGTCTCTACTCGGCGATCCTGCTTCGGCATCACGACGGGCACGCTGTTGTAAAGCCTGCGTTTTTCTGGGTGAGCAATGAGCATTGGCTGTGTGTGCGTCTCCTGCTTCGGCGGATATCTGCATCACGACGGGCACGCTGTTGTAAAGCCCGCGTTTTTCTGGGTGAGCAATGAGCATTGACTGTGCGTGCGTCGCGCGCGGTGCAGCGCAAACGAGTGAACATCGCGTTTTCACCACTCAGCTGAGGTCTGAGGGCCTGGAATTGATCACATTGCAGAGGTGACAGGTAGTCATTTGTAGTTAATTGGTGTAGTAATTCTTGGATAAATCAATGTTGATGTTCATTGTGATATCAGAGTTCAAAGTGGGCAATAACCTATTCTCAGAAAGTCACTGTATAGCTACACAAGATTGAATTCTTCATTTAGAGAAAATTAGATCGTTGCTCATTGTCCATTTGTTCATCAGAAGGAGGTTTATCATTTAGGGAAAATGAAACACGACGACTCATTGTCAACTCGTATATTTGATTGTCCGTCATTTTCATGAGAGGATTGGTTGGGCTGGAGGAGAGGATTTTAACCCTCTGAGCAGAGAATTCTAAGGAGATAACTGACGACATCATCATTCAGGATGACACCGAGAAGAGAATGAGAGTGTTGCAACGACTCCTGTCACAGGTTGGTCGGTACACAAAATGGTATGGTGGGCTTTTAATGGCATTCACGATGGGCTTTTTGGAATCGTGGAGGGGCAGGGGTATTAATTATAATGCTCCTTCTTCATGCCTCCCTTTTACCTATCTCCCCTCTGCTCCACATCTCTCTATTACCTTATGTTCAATTTCTTCCTACCTTTGTTCTCTCACTTTTTCATTACCCCCTCCTCACAGGGTAAGATAGAGCTGCTAAAGAAAGGACACAGTTTAGTCTACAGTCTAAAAGCCACCACCTCAACACCCAGGTCGGTCGACAAAGTTAAAAGCTGAATTGTGTTGAGTTACGATTATGTTATTCCTTCATTTTCTTAAAATAGACGCCAAAAATGCCCTGTGTTCGCTTACTTCCAGGAACAAAGGTGGTCTTGGGCTGTGAGAAAGTTAAATTTTTTCAAGTATGGTGGAATCCCTTCTAATTAGGACACCAATGGGACAAAATAAAGGGTCCACCTTAGTGAGGTGTCCTAATTTCAGGGGTTGAACTGCATGCAAGAACAGTTATTAAGAGAAGCCATTCTTTATTAGATGGTGGCTTCATTTCAGTGGAGCCTCTGAAAAAGGTCCCTCTGAATAATGGCACACCTCTAGAAAAATGACACTTATTCTTCCTAATGCTGCGGGTCAAACATAGCTCAGAGTGAGGTGACGCAATGTCTCAAGACGCTGGAGAGTAAGAAACTCATCGAGTGTCAGATCTGTACAACCTACCAGCAGAAAGACTCACTTCTACTTTTTCTCTTATTTCGATCACTTTTTCTGCTCTTTATTCTTTCACTCTTGCACTCCTACAAGAGCTGACAAGAAAAGTGAGCATTCAGCCATGATTTGGATGACTGCCACTCTCTCTGGTATTTCTGCAGGAGACAGAGCTGACAGGACTCAGGAGAGTGAGGGGTTAAAAGGGCTACGACGCAGTCTCTGCACGATTTTTACTTCATGTACGTATCTTCTCAGCTGACAGAATTTTGTACAGAAAATAGTCTTTCGATTTTTATACAGAATACTTGATTTTCGTAACCACATTACACACCAAGCAATATCTGTATTCACATCTTTCTGCACATCAGCTCACTGGACATTGTCCATAAGATGCACACACATTTTTGATACGCAACGACTCAACGATCACTCTATTACTAATGGCAGAGGCGCGCTGATCTTTTTAACCCTACTGCGTCACCACCATGCGGCTATACAACCGGTTTCGACATAGGCTTCAACACGCATGCGCACTGAAGGACGGCAATATTTTAATTAGTCTGATTTGTCAAAAGTTGGATCTGATTGAAATAGAAAGTGAAACATGAAAATCCCAATGTATAATATAATGCAGGACAACCTGTGTCATCCCTATATACTAAGTACTACCGTACTTAGTGATAATACTGTCTTTCATTAAAAAAATTCTCTCCTATGCAACGATCTTGAAATATTACGGTAATCTGACAGTTTTTAAAATTTACACGTAGTTTTATTCATTATGTGCGGTTGATATGCAAATGGTGTTATTTATGTATAGGTTTGATGATGGCAATTATACAGCACAGCAAATTTGTACAACACCAGTATGGCTAATGGTGCTAAGTGGGTGTTACTACAAACCAATGAATTATATAAACCTCGTAATGCCTCGTTGCCAGCTAGGGTAACTGTACTAAGTGGGCCACCATGCGCTGCATAATACACCTGCACTATATTGGTTGAACGATAGTTGACAACATACATTACATAATGATGACATCATAAATAAAGTTGTTCTCAAGGCAGGAGCTAGGGAGGATCTTGGAGCAGTTGATTCCTCGATGAGTGGTTTTCTCTGGTTTGACAAACAGTCCGTGAGAAGGCTTGCAGCGAAAGTAGCCATGTCCCTTCACCGACCCATCGTTCTTTCCATCTGCAGAGAAGAGAGAGTGATAGAGTTGAAGGGGTTAAAGGGACAGCCCAATATCTGTAACACCCACTCACACTTGCTGCACACTATATAGAGCTCTATATATCATCAGCTCACTGGACACTGTCCGCTAGATGCACACACATTTTTGAAGGGGCTGAACGACCGGGTTGGACACGCATGCGCACAATGTTAGGGTGAGGCTCGCAATCACAATCACAAAAATGGCCGAAGAGTTTCTCCGTGATCATCCGGGGCTGGGGCCGTACGTTCTCTCCGACGTCCAGCTCACTGGCACCGAAATCGGCGGTGGGGCTTACGGCAAAGTGGAGGAGGTGGTCGTTTCGGTGGGCGCCGCCGCCAAAACAATCTACCCAATCTTGCAAGAAGGTGATGCAACGACCGCCGAACTGCCTAAGGCCGCGACCGAGTTCGTGAGGGAATGCCAACTTATGAGCACCCTCCGCCACCCGAACATCGTCCAGTTTCTGGGCGTCGCTTTCTTTCCCGGCTCGCGACTGCCAGCCCTCGTCATGGAGCGACTGCTGACGAGTCTTCACGACTTGCTGGCTCCGGACACGCCCCCTCCGTCCGGCGCCGTCACACCGCTATCTTTCTTCTCCATGGCTCTCAAGTGCTCCGTACTACACAACGTAGCGTGTGGCCTGGCCTACCTCCACGAGCGATCGCCGCCCGTCATCCACCGCGACTTGTCGGCCAGAAACGTTCTCCTGGACTCGGAGATGGTGGCCAAGATAGCCGACCTGGGCGTGGCTCGTATCGTTCCTCGTGTGAGAGCTGCAGCCACCATGACAACGGGACCTGGGGCTTCAGTCTACATGCCTCCAGAAGCCAGTGCTCCTGCTGCTTCCAACATTGAAATGTCGAAATACGATGCCAGTGTTGATATTTTTTCTATTGGGGTTGTTTCCATTTTCACAATCGGTGAAATCTTTCCCTGTGATCCTCTTGCTCCAAATTTTGCAGATGAGAAAAGTGGGGTGGTAGTAGCTCGCACTGAACTACAGCGACGCAGCCATTACATGCGCAACGTAAACGAGCAACTCCGTGCCTGTGGCCAGCTCCGTGGGGACCACTCTCTCATTCGACTGATCCAGCAATGCCTGCAAAATTTCCCTTCCAAGAGGCCAGGTATTCGTGAAGTGCTGCGTCTGTTGGAGGATGCCAGAGCTGGTTTTAGATATGAAGGGAGTGAGAGGAACAAACGTGAACTGGTACGAGCTCTTCAGACCCAGCCCAGGAACCAGGTGAGGGACGGTACACTCATTAACCCTCGGCGTGCATGCGCAGCGAGGGTTACTGTAGTTGTCGTGTGTGTCATTCAGTCATTCATTCTGTCAGTTAAGTGAGAACTCACTTCTCCAGTCATAGATCGCGTCCAAAACGGGTTTACACACACTCATTAGGTATATATGAGTTGATGTGAAAAACTCTTGTGATTGATGTGAAAAACTCTTGTGATTCTACCAGAATTTGGAGCGTGTTCTCCGAGACCTGGTGACAGAGAATGCTCATCTCCAGTCTCGTGTGCAGACGGAGTTAGCTGCAGCACAGCTGCAATTGAGACGTAATGTGAGTCAAAGATGATTTAAGTGGAACAGTCAAGTGTTGTGTGTTTTTAATTGCAGGAAGAACATTTGCAAGCAACTGAGAAGGAGATGCAGACACTCCGACAAGAGCTGACAAGAAAAGTGAGCATTCAGCCATGATCTGGATAACTGCCACTCTCTCTGATATTTCTGCAGGAAACAGAGCTGACAGGAAAGGAAGCAGAGTCGACAAGAAATAAAGCAGAGCTGACGAGAAAGGAAGCAGAGTTGACAAGAAAGGAGGCAGAGGTGACGAGGGCAGAGGAGACTATCAGGAGAGAGCAGCAGCAGATTCAGGAGATGAGACAGAGAGTTAGTCTAGTGTGTGGAGTTGTGTGTTGTGACTAGATGTCCTTCTGACTGCAGGAGACTGAGTTAGTACAGGCCAAGGACAGGGAGATAGCTCTGCTTCAGCAGCAACAGGGGGGAAAGGTCAGTCATGAATGGCATACCCTCAATTCACTGGCTATGAATATCAGTATAGCTCTTATTTCACACACCTGAATTTGTAAGCGTATGTGTGGTAACTATAAGAATGTGAGTAAAATTTGTCGCAAGTAGCCCTCCTTTGTCATTGACTCTACAGTCTTTCTGGACTCAAAAAAACAACCAAAACAGCAAGACTACTGTATTTCTTACTTAGCGAGCTCGGTAATTTGCAATAGTGATATTAATTTTTTCGATGCGTGGACTTCTAAATCTTCTGAAGTTTCTGGTCTCTAAATTGCATGCAATGCAGGGGCGTAGCCAGGTTTTAATTTTAGGGGAGGCAAATGGCCATTCGCATTATTATTCTTGTGGCGCAATGTCAGTCAGTGTTTAGTCGCGGAAGGCTAGAGCAATACGGCAATGCCCGGAGCGATCCCAGGCTTGTAAGATACTCTCTGGAGATGTCCGCTCTTGGTTGATGTAACCCGGTGCTAACTGCATGCTCTCGCTGCTGGCGCTCGTCGTTGATTACGCTGCAAAAAGTTGTAACAAATTATTAATAAGTCGGCAAAAACAGAGGAGGCAACTGCCTCCTCTGCCTCAATGCTATGCCCCTGCAATGACATACGCATATTGCACAGACTCCCCTAGGGTTTGCGAAGGTGCCGGTCAAAGTAAGTCCCGTTGTCACACTCCTCCAGCCCCTTCCCTCCTCCCTTTACCACCTCCTGTCCCTGTCTCTGTCAACGTCTTCCCTGGGACTCAATTGGCCTACCAGCGAGAAAGTAGCTCTTTTGCTATTAAAGCTGCACTGAATTTGAACGGTGTATATATGCATTGCATATCTCTAAACAGGTTAGCCTCGTCCATGGAAGATCCTTGGGGGTAATTCTTGTGTTCAAACACTATTGCTCTGCACCTGAACTGGTACGAACCCAACCCAGTTTGGTTTGAACTCAAATCAGCACTGAATTCATTTAGACTTGCAATCTTGTACGCTGGTCGATCAGGGCATTGGGGCACGTGACAACGATTGGAGATTCTTCAAAGATAGGGTGTGTTAGGCAATGCTGGACTCGATTTTTTCCTTCAAGTCCGAGTATAAGGTAGTGTTTTCTTTTCGCAGCTCTATTGCTATAACTATATATAGCCATGTTAGACATTGCCTTATAGTTTGCCAAACACAAGGTTTTCACTTGTTATTCACTCTTCACTCTCTGTCTGTTCCAGCACTCTTACACATATCAGGTGAGTGGACCTGGTCTAACATCAGCCACAGTCAACCAACCAACGCACGTCCTAGTCCAACTAACTGACTCTAGTGGTAGACCATACTCACTTCCACTGAATGTCACCGCACAAGTTAAGCTTGTTTCAAAAGCCACACCCACAAATACACATGAAGCCACACCCACTAGAACATGGTGGCCTTGGTCGAAGAAACAGCCAGAAAAACAGGTATTGGTTGCCATGACGTCTCCATCGCAATACGAGGTGTCGTACACACCAGTCAGTCGAGGCCAACACAAACTCCATGTTCAAGTCAACGACAGGGAAATCAATGGCAGCCCCTTCACTGTTACCGTGTACCCTGACCCCAGACAACTAGGCCACCCAGTGAGGACTGTGACTGGATTGAACTGTCCATATGGCATTGCCTTCAACAGTCATCAGGAGATGATTGTCAGTGAATGTGAGGGTCATAGAGTGTCTATCTTTGACATCAGAGGACAGAAAATCCGAATATTTGGATCACGTGGTGACAGTCCAGATCAGATGGTACTCCCTGCAGGCATAGCAACTGATGATACTGACAATATTTATGTGAGCAGTGAACACAAGCTGCAGAAGTTCACTAGCAGGGGTGAACTGATCAAATGTATTGGTCGGAGGGGCAGTAAGGAGTGGGAGTTTAATGATCCACGTGGAGTGACACTGTGTGCCAATCAAGTGTTTGTGTGTGATCGTGACAACCATCGCATTCAGGTGTTTGACCTCGACTTGAACTTTGTCCGATCCATTGGCTCACATGGCAAAGGAAGAGGTGAATTCAATTCACCACTTGATGTCAAATTTGACACTGCCAGGAACCTGTATGTAGCTGAGTGGGGTAATGGGAGAGTGCAAGTAATGGACACCCGTGGCCAATTCATACGATTATTTGGTCAGGAAGGAGAGGGAAAACTGCGTGAGCCATCAGGTCTTCATATTATTGCTGACACGTATGTGTATGTGTCTGATTTGAGTGGTCATTGTATAGTAGTGTATGAGACCTCAGGTCAGTTTGTCACCTCATTTGGAAGGCCTGGTCAGAAAGAGGGAGAGTTTCATGGTCCATACTGTATCACCTCTTGTGTTGATGCTTTTATACATGTATGTGACTATTGGAACAACAGAGTTGAAATATTCTAGATTTATTGTGATCATGACACCATCTGTAATGTATTGATCAGAACAGAGAATGCTATTGTTAAAATAATCACTTTTCGCGCACCCTAATTATTGTTGTTTGGTAACTACTGATTCAGATATTTAGAATACCAAATACTACTGTATTGTATGAGACATTTGTATATTATGTTTGTCTTACTACTGTTGCTCTCCTTTAACACAATTCCTTATAAACCACAATTCCTTATTATCTGATGTTTCATGTAATTGTAAGCACTATCGTCAATGTCACATAAAAAGCATGTTTATTATTGTATTTCATGCTAGCTACTGTATCAATAACAGTGCTATCTCTAGACCCCACCCCTTTCCTACCACATGTTACTCTCCTTCACCCGCCTTCACAGATGTATGTATAAAACGACAATATTAAATATGCCTTATTACCCATGTTCCATGTAATTGTAAGACCTGTAGTCTATGTATGTTGTTTAATAATTATACTTCATGGTTGTATATAACGAAAATGTCCATTTTATTGTGCTAATGGTTTTTCACAGTTGAATCACGTTATTCCTCATTCATGTTTTTGTAACACTAAAGCTAGTCTCCTTGTTCTCATTTGTATGACTCATGTAGCTATTATACTATTTGTGTTTAATTAGTCTGTATAGTCACTCATATAATACTGTCTAAGTTGTCTAAAAATTTCTCTCCTATGCAACGATCTTGAAAAATACACGATATTATAGTAATCTGGCAGTTTTTAAATTCACACTTATACATACGTGCATTTAATATTAGCACAAATGGGTATTATGTGGGCACACCGTGCACCACATAATATAACACCTCCACTAATAGTCGTTGGACGATAGTTGACAACATACATACATAATGATGAC